GGCGTCTCGACTCACTTGTTCACCTGATCGCCAGTGAATCTAGTCATAGACAGAAGCGTTCTTACAACTTCCTGCTAAAAAAATGTTCCTCGATCTGCTCGGCCAATTGATGTTGCGACCAATTTCCTGTATTCATGTGGTTTCAACCACAAAATAGCCGATGCCAAACGCTTGTCGTCCCGTAGCAAAAATCCACCCATCTTAGTCAAATTATTTTCATCAATCAAGGTTGACACAATCTTTGCCCATCGAGAGCTTGTCACTGCGTACCTAGAAAAGGCAAAATTTTTCCTTTGTCATGATCATACTCCTATGGAGCGTAGAATCGGGTCTCTATTCTCACGTAAACCCACTGCTTCTCAGTCCAATGCTCCCCAACTCGGTCATAATACAATTGGCCGTAAGGATTCAGCTTGTCCTACTCCTGCGACATCTGACTCCCTCCTTCCTCTTTCTCCTACATCTCCATCTCACTCAAGCCACTTGACGCATTTGCCTGCCCCTAAACTTGCAGCAGCAGCAGCAGCAGCAGCCCCATTTGTCGTTTCCTATCCTCCGGTTAGTCCCGCTGAGACACATGAAAATCCGTCTACATCAGCTAGTCCGATAACTTATATTGTCCAACTAGGTGCTGTAAGGTCTACAGTTAAGTCACCCGTGGCTTGGCGTCAGAACGGTGGGACTCGAAAATTGAATCAGACTCCGACCCAAAAGATAGGTAACACAGTTCCATTTAGGGGTACGACGCCTCCTCTTAGATCTAACAAGTCTGTTCAGCCCAGCTCCAATTATATCCCCGAATAATTTTCTGTCCTGCGTACCGGTTAGTTATCAAAGCCCTACTATATATCCAGCAAATAATGCATACATGAATTGCCCTAAATCATTTATGCTTCAACCTAGTTCAGGCTTCCCACCACTTAAGGCCTATTGCTCTCAGGTACGTCAACCTATATCCTTTGACTTCCGACCTAGACCTGGTTTCCCACCATTTCATTCTTATAGCGGCCTACCCTCACCCACTAGCCCATACTTTTCTTCTAGCCTCCCTCCTCCTCCTCCCCTTCCTCCACTATTTAACTACCAACAAGTCTATCCATGTTCTAACTCCCCTGCATTCCAATGCTTGAAAACTATATCCCCACATCCTTTAGGTCTCATACGCAGCCTCCTCTTGCTGACTCCCCGTACGCCAATAACTCTAGATTAACTGGTACTTATTCTCCAAGTGTCATTAATTCGCAGCTTACATATCCGCCTCCACATTTTTTTAAATGCCGTCGAAAATAGCATTGCCGTTCGAAACACATTAGATATTATATTATTGAATGCCAGGTCTGTTATAAACAAGATGGCCCAAATCAGAGCCATTGCTCTGGAAATAACGCCTGATATTATATGTGTAACAGAATCTTGGACACATTCTCTAATTCCTGACACTGCCCTTCTCAAAGATGACTTCGATTTTTATCGCCAAGACCGCACGACTAGGCGTGGGGGTGGTTGTCTTCTTTATCTTAAATCCTACCTAAAGCACTCTACCTAATACTTGGATGTTTCCTCATTCACGGGAAGCTTCTGCTTTGCATCTGTTATTCTCTGGCCGCAAAGAAAGGCGATTATTGGCTGTATCTCCAATCCCCCAAATTCTTTAGCCAGTGATGATTCACAATTCTGTGAAATCTTTAAATTAATTTCGGAAGCTGCTTTCGATGTTAAAATAATCACTGGGGCTTTTAACCTTCCTGAAATAGACTGGGCTTCCAATAGCTGCCCACCCAGATTCCAGCCCTTTCAAGACATTGTCAATTTTTCTAATTGGTCCCAACTGGTGCGTTCTCCAACAAGGGATAATTACATTTTAGATCTAATCTTTACCAATGACATTGCTCCTCTTTCTGTGGCTTTAAAAAAGGATCTCTTTGACAGTGACCACGTATTAATTCATTGTTGCTTACCGCTTGCCTTTTCAAAAAAGACAAGCGCCGTTCGGACTTACATGAACTACGACTGCGTAGATAGCGACTTAATAAACAACTATATGAGATCCTTGGATTGGTGTGGCTTCCTCACTTGTAGCGGTGCAAACATTCTTCGTGATATCATGTCCAATGTTTCCAAGGACATTCTAGAGTTTGTGCCGCGTAGATATCTCAAGCCTAATTCTTCAGATTCTCTTGTTCCTCATTTTCTTCAGAACAGACTAAAAAAGTTGAGGCGACAGCTGCGTGACCCATCCACTAGTTCCTTATCTGTTCATCTTAGAATCACAGAGATTTTTGAGATGGCCTCAAGGATGCGCCAAGCGCGCGACAGGCAAAGAGAATCAATTGCTCTCAGTGGTTCGAACCCTGGCAAATCCGTCGCTAACATCTTCCGTCATCGGTCCTCCTCTAAGCGTGGTCACGAACTTCCACGCATGCTAAATGATAACAAAGTCTTCCTCACCGATGACACTGACAAGGCGGAGTTGTTTAGTGCTTTCTTTGCAAAACACCTTGCTAACGAGTCCGATCTGGTCCCTCTCTTTCGGTCACTTTCAGATAGGACACTTAGTACAATTGATGTCTCCTCAGATCTCATTAAGAAACACATAAGCCGTTTAAAATACTCGCACTGCTCTGGAACGGACGGGCTTTCGAATTCGATTATTAAACAAGCGTCCGACTTTCCCATATTGCTCAGTCATTTATTCTCGGTTTATATTTCAAAAGGATTTTTTCCTGAAACATGGAAAACGTCAATTATCATTCCCGTCTTCAACTCAGGATCTCGGTCCGATGCTAATAACTATCGGGGCGTGCACAAAACGCCGTCTCTAGCAAAACGTCTTGAAAGGATTATTTTCAATGAAATTCTTGACTTCTTTCTAGCTAATCGACTTCTGAGCTCTAGTCAGCATGGATTTTTACCTGAACGATTCTGCGAAACATGTCACTTGGCTCTTCTTAATCTAATCACTTCTCTTCGTAATGAGCGGCAGTCAGTGGTAGTTATTTACTTTGATCTTAGCAAAGCCTTTGACAAGTTGCCCCATAGACGTCTTTTAGTAAAATTGGAAGCTCTCGGCATATGGCCGCCTCTACTCGACTTCATCAGGTCCTATCTGTCCAATCGATATCAGAAAGTTATGGTCGGTAATAGCTATTCGACACTCCACTCGATCACGAGTGGCGTACTTCAAGGCACGGTCCTGGGTCCGCTACTCTTCCTTCTGTACATCAATGATATTTCGACTGAATTCGGAAATTCGCTAACTTTTACTTATGCCGATGACCTCAAGTGCGTTTACTCATACTCTAAGGACACCACTAACGTTTGTGTTGAAAAAAATTAATGACGATTTACTACGCTTAAGCAGATGGGGTTCGACATGGCAGATGGAGTTTTCATCATCCAAGTGTAGTTTCATGTCTTTTGGTCCTACCAAACTTCCTGGTCCCATAATTTTTCAGAATAACCCACTCTCAGAATGCCTCACCATAAAGGACCTAGGTCCAAGTTATACAAATAAACTTGCTTTATCACCTCATGCAGATAGAATCTTTGCCAAAGCCGCGCAGATATGTGGATTCATATCGCATAATTTTTTTCCTTCCGGAAATGAAGCTAAAACTTTATCAAATGTTTGTTCTTCCAGTCCTCGAATACTGCTGTCCTTTCTTCGGTTTAATGAACGCGTGTGACCGTAAAAAAATTGAAAATGTCCAGAGGGTTTTCATTCGGAAACTGTTCTCCCAAGCTTCGTCCGGTATTTCTTGTACTTAGAGATGTCAGCTGGCGAGCATGAAGTTTTTGTGGGTTAGAAGACTCGAAGCTGGCCTTTGCTTCCTTTTTCGCATCAACTCTAGCTCCAGTCTTCCGCACATTGACACTCTCACTCCGAGAGATCGGTCTTATGCCACGCGCAACTCCCGCATGGTGATTCCGCCGCCTCTTTGTACTACATCTAAGCGCTCCCTCTTCTTTGCTTCCAAATATGCCTTCCTTTGGAATAATCTTCCGCCTGAAATTAGATCATCGCCTAAGTTACTGGTATTCAAGTCGAAATTACGCAAACATCTTACACCGGAAAGCATAAGGGCACCTTTAGCGGTCTCATTCCGGAACAATCAGATTCTTGACTTCGAGAAGGGTCCTCCAGGGATTTAGTGGTAGATTAAGTGGTAACTCTTAATTATATCATTAGAAACCCCTGTTTTGAATTGGTTTCTAAATCCACTGCTATCACTCCTCCCCATAGCGACAATTTTCGCGGTTTTTGATGTCATCTCCCGCATTCCGACCTCATGCGGTCTGTCGACGCTCACGGCGGAATCCTCAGTATTCGTCGTCTAATAGTAGTTTGGTCGTACCTCCCCCACTGCTCGGCTGAGCTCGAAGCGTGCTGTGGCCTATTGCATCTGGGTTCCTCTCGTCTGGCCTCCTTGACACGAATAGTCTCATGCGGCGTATCAATCCGGCCCAGACGATCTCAATTGTGAATCCCGTATACAATGCCACATGCAGGCCAGTCCTGTCTGACCCGCATACGTACCCCTCAAGGCTGAGATTTATTGCTACCCTGACGATGACCGACAACATTCCGTTATATACCGCCACCTACAGGCCAGTCCTGCTCGCTTTTTTCTGTCATTATTTTTATTGAGGGTTTTTTTTTCTCCTGTTAAATTAATCCAATCACTTTTAACTTTTTGTAAGGTGTTTTTTTGACCCCTCAATCATCATGTTTCTCAATGGACTACTAATTCAGAAACTATGAATTGCATTTTGTAAAGATTCGGCCTACCTCGTCTAAAACTCGCATGTAAATTTATTTTAACTTGCTTTGATGGGACTCCGACGGGTCTTTAATAAAAAATTATCTATCTATCTACTTCAAAATTACGACGGGGACGATGACCAACCAACAGCTCAGGATCTCATAGAACTCAAGGGCGCTGCCTCAAGACATTCTTTACCTTCGAAGGGGTCACATACGATCAAATTAAGACACCCCGATGGGTTCACCAATCTCCGGGCTAATTGTCGAGGCGGCTCTACAAAAACTCGAGAGTCGATTATTCGGGGAGTACAAGCCCCAGTTTTGGGCACGCTACGTTGATGACACCTCTGTAATAATCGACCGGGATAAAATCAACTACTATGCGGAAGTACTGGACTCAGTCATTCCCGATCTACAGTTCACGATGGAAGAGGAAGTAGGGGACAAACTTCCATTCTTGGATGTTCTCGTCTGCCGCCAACCAAACAGCAAACAAGCGAAGTCGGTCTACAGAAAACCGACGAACACGCTGAAAATGCTCGGATACAACAGCAACCACCCGCTACAACACAAACGAAGCTGTGTCCTTACGCTACACCGACGGGTAAAAACGCATTGCATCACGCCAGCCGCCAAACTGGACGAAATAAAGCTCCTCCAAGAACTCTTCAGAGCTAACGGATATCCGCGGGCATTCACTGAACGGAGCCGAAAGCAGCCAAAGAGACGGAATGAAGAGCAAAGTCAGTCCAACTCTTGGCGGAGCATTCCGTACATTAAAGGGGTCTCCGAAGTCGTGGCTGGATCCCGCGCGCCACTCAGAATAGGTGTTGCCCACAGGCCTGACTCAACAATCCGCCGACAAGTGATGCGGCCAAAAGATCCGATCCTTAAACAGGAAATGTCGGCCGTTGTCTAGCGACTTCAATGCAGCTGCGGGAGGTGCAACCACGTTGGGGAAACCAGCCGACGACTGCAAACGCGAATGCACGAGCCTAAGTTGGGCGTGCGAAGGTTGGACCCGAAGTCGGAGGTAGCAACCCATTCCGCGCAAATGGGAAACATTTCCAACATTGACGCCGTTGAGATTGTGGACCGGGACGGTGATCATACAGCAAGATATGTACAGCAAGCCTGGATGTCCACCGACAGCTCTGTCAACCGCCGCATCAATTTGCCCTCCCCTATCTGACTTTACGAGCCTTCTTAACGGGGGTCAGTTACGGGGGAGGACAATCGGAGCCGTCAGTCATCTCCGCGACCGACGGGGGCGATTTAGGTCACGGTGACATGCGGGTTGGAGGCAGCCCCACAGGCGGCATTGGCGGGTCACGTTTAGAACAAAAGGCGCCATATGAGGGGAGCTGTGCGCAGAACTTTCCAGTTTCTGAAGGTGGGTAGACGAATCAACTACTCGAAACGTCGGACCTCCAATAAACCCCTCCCAATGAACACCTCTTCTTCTTTTGATATGCCACCTGGGAATCGCATTTTCACTACTATTGACATCTGTCATATATATATGCATGCATTCAATCAGGAATGGGCTCACACTGATCTATTGTGTTCCCGAAACTAACAAGCTCTGTATGAGTGGTAAAGGTCACGAACGGGCAGCCAACTACCTGGCCGAGGTCGGCCAAGTTATAATTACGAGGAGGGAGGACAGAGAGGGCGGGTAGATTGGTACAGTAATGTTTCGGGCCTATTTTGCCTTCATTCATCCAACCATAACCCTGACGAGCAGCTGGAATCAGAAACACAGATATGCGCACAGACACAGCGGGCGAAGTTTGTCCACCACTGAGTCTGTCAGAAGGGTCATAGGCACTTCATCAAATAAGCACCCGATCTGCAGCGATAGAGAATGGCAGGTGGCAAGGCAGTGATGAACTTCGGTTCGATGAAGTGCTTATGACCCATCTGGTAGGCCTCAGTGGTGGACCGACTGCGCCAGGTGCGTCTGTGCGCATGTTTGTGTTTCTGGTCGCAGCTGCTGGTGGTCATTGTTATGATTGGCTGAATGAAGGCAGAATAAGCCCGAAACAGTGCTGTATCAATCTACCCGCATTTTCTGTCGTCCCTCCTTGTTGATATATATATATATATATATATATATATATATATATTTAGAAGGTGAAGTTCTTTGGGAAACAGCAAAATTTTATTGTGAATTTTCGAGACTGGTTCCCCAGCTCGTCTTCAGACAACGGGTGTGCAAAAACAATTAACTTTTAGACTGAGTCT